GTCTATGGAACCTTGACGTACTCCAACAAGCCAGATGTCTTTGATTCTAACATGGTGAACACTTGCACGAAGAGAAGACAGCTTGATCCCACTGCATGTACTTGATTCATTCAAATCTGATAGACACATTCGAGACATAGACGTGTATTCACCAGACACAGATGTGTTCATTTACCTAATGGACTTAGTCTCCTCACATGATAATTCCAAGTGAGCTTCTTTTCACGCCAGGCAAAGCGAAAGTGAAATGTATAATTGACGTACACAATAAATTTGAATCTATTGGAAGAGAAAAAAGTAAAGGTGTTGTAGGTTTTCATGTTTTTAGTGGTGCTGATTGGGGAGGCAAATTTGCCGGTATATCTAAAGCTAGGTGGATTAAGCAGTATCTAAGTCTAGAATAAACTGTAAAATTGCTCATGATTTTCAGAAATTTGGTGAGGATGATTTTGACCAGGACAACGTCAAATGTTCTTGAAAGGTTTGTGTGTACAGCATATGCCATGAGTACCAAAAGCAGCACAATCAGGGAACTGAGATGAGAATTATTCAAATGCACAATCTTGAAGCTGAAAAGTTGCCACCTGCTCTTGGAACACTGGAACTGCGCAATCAAGGAGCAAACCTCATATCTCTATTTGCCAAAGGTTACAAACAGGCGAGGCCCCAAATACCACTTCTTACTGATAATGAATGGGAAAAGACCTCAGATGAAATAATCTCTCCAAAGATGTGTCTGGAGCTACCTGCACATGTGGATGTTGTAGTGTATGTACGGTACCAGCAATTGCTTATGTCTAAGGCGGCAACACGAAATTGACTGACTGTTCTGCCCCATGTCTAAAACTCGGGATCACGAGGACTAAGTTAACAAAAGAGCCCCTTTGCAATGCTGTCTATCCCTGCCAGAAGAGCTTCATTTAAATGCAAAAAAAAATTGAATACAGCCGAGATTCTGCTGGCCAGCCTCAGTGGTAGGAAGGTTAATTTGAATATGAATGGTCCACTGAAGTCGGTGTGGAGTCGGTCCATGGGGTGAACGAACTAAAACCGTGGCTGCTTAGTCCCTATCTGAACAATGGGGAAATGATTTAGGGGCCCGGGCTGAACCTTTGTGTTTTTTTGCTTTATACAGCTTTCAAATCTTTAGGCAGAAAGTGCAGTAGGCAAGTTATTTTTATGTGTTATGATTTTGCGAAAGCATTCTTCAACTAAATCGTCTGCTCCTACTACCTTGAAATAAACCGGAGCAATGATTTTTCCCCTTGTTTAAAGTCTTAATACAGTCGACTCTCTTCATTACGAAATCCCTGGGACCACGTAAAATTGTACAATGCATGCACGTGTATGCATGTACATCCAAAAAATGCGTGGTTGATGTTACATCAAAAAGATCTCTCGGTTATAATTAATCAAATATATTGTGATGTGTTTAGAATAATAAAATTCACTATCATATGAAAACATGTTTAATGTGCATATGAGATTAATAAAAGCAAATACATGTACACGTACAAGTGAAAGCATCGATCAAGGGATTTTTAAAAGGCTTTTGATTGGCATGGATGACGACGAAGCTTAACGCCATGCACATATACATGTAGGTCTGTGTGTACCTGCAAGAATGTGAAGATTCATCAACTGGAGCCCACATCCATGCAAGTGGTCTTTCCAACACAAATTGTGTCATGGAGAGACATTTTTATTCAATTTTCCATCAGTCTTATGATTTTCGACACTAACTGCATGACACGATTGATCGATAGTCCCAAGTTCACTCGCCCATGTTGCGCGGCTGCCCACGCACAAGATGGTCGCTGAAGGAGCATGACGTGAAGGAATATTGCGATTGGATAGCTGCTCTCGCAAAATGTACCTCGTGAAAACGCACAGTCTCATTGGCTGGTACGATAGGTCTTTTTGCAGCAATATGAATAATTCAGTGGTCAATTAGTTGGGCTCTTGAGACACGAGAATAGTCAAGCGAACTTTTTTGGCTTATTTTTATCACAATCGGAAAGGGGATTTTTGCTTTGATGTTTGTGTAATCAATGTAATAAATCATTGATTTTTGAATTGTGCTTTACGCTTGTCATGACTTCAGGAAACTGGCAAATGATGTCTGTGTATTGCGTTGTAAGCGTGCACGACGAGTCTGGAGGGGCAGGCGGTTAGTCTCGTGCTGCGGCTGGAAATTTTGTGGAAACATGCTCGTTTCAAGTACAAGCAGTACATCCTCGAATTAAATGCATGAACACAGAAAACACAAACATAGACATTACTTTATTTCATAAACCTCTACATCTTCAGTCATGTGAAACTTTATTTCATACATAGTGTTACATTCATGGTCCTGGTTTGTTTTCATGCAGTAATGAGGTGGTAATTCACATCAGGAATTATTGCTCCTCAGCTTTTGATTGATAGTTTGCTTGATGGATTTATCAGTTTTTGCAATTAATAATAATTATGATCATGATTTCATGAACCGGGTGGTTCCACAATAAATATGAAGATGAGAGCAATCCTGTCTCTTGTATTTTTTTTTAATGGTTTGTTTTCTAAATGAAATTACTTGAAATAAGTGGTTGTTGGCCCTTATTGTGATAAACAGGTCAAGGGAGCGCAAACAGTGGCATATCCCAGTATAAGGATTACACTTTACAGGGAGGGGGCATAAGATTTTTTCCTGTGCATGAATATTTCTTCCAAAATGATAAAAAAACCCAAAATTGTCTTTAAAAACTGCCCTAGGTCCTCATGCATGCTGCATCGCAGCACACGCACTGCATCTACAACCACTGCGACATCCTGACTGCTACTGCGTACCCCATTCATGGATAGTCCAATCACTGACTTTTCCTAATGACCACGTGACCACAGAAAGTACTGCCATTAAAAAACCCAAGTGAAAACAGATCTGACATGTCACGCCGAGCATGATTGGTGAAAAGAAGAGATTTGCTACACGAAGATACACGTACAATTAAGCGGCTGATTTTATTTATCGAGGGAAAAAACCTTTAGGTAACAGAATACAACATGAAGTATTTCAATGTTGATTATTGCATCCCAAACTACACCATGAGAACAAATAAAAAGTGCTAAAATAATCACTACAATGCCGCCACGGCAAAACCACGCGGCCATGGCTCACCGTGGTTAGCACGTGCTCATGATCACGATGCATGGATGGCATGCCCTAATCTACAATAATGCCCGGCAGCCTTTCTTATTAAGAATATCTGACGTTAACTGGTTAATTTTGAAGTTATTCCCAAATTATTAAAGTCAGTGACAGGTTTTAGGCCTACAACTTCCAATGTAGTACAATTAATATTCGCAGTCGCGCCGCGATATTGTGGAAGAGCATGAAGAGTGCGATCTGATATATGGGTCCACACCCGTATATGTTTCGTGGTCATCATGGGACAAGTCTCAGATATTTACCATTTCATGCATACTTTTCGAGGTGGATTTTATAAAAAAGACTGCCTTTTTGCGAAAGTAAAATAATTTGAATAGCCTATTTAAGTTTGCAACGTACACTGGTCAATGATTACAGTGGAACTACACAAGGATGACCGCCTGCGTGCAGGACATGTGTTTTCACCCTCCTTGACAACGCCCGACCGATCAGGAAGAACGCGGGCAAGACGCAGAATAACTGTGAGTCAGTTTCGTTGCCGCCTAAAGAATAACTTGCTGTGTACACCTCTTTGTAAATGTAGTGACTGTGACAACACAATGGATTACAATGTGACAGGTCAAGAAGAAGACTTTGACTAGGTAACTTTGTAACTGTTCCAATGTAATTCAGCACAAGTCAAGAAAGTCGATCAGGAAAAGGACTAAAATTCAATACCACGTTACTATGCTTCCACTAGCTGAAATTGAAACTAAAAACAAAACTCATACAGTAGTAAAGAAATTGATGTACCATGTGTGGATTTTCCTCAGGCACTTAGTTACGACTGTGTATGAGACATTTAATTAGCCATACATGTATTAGCTGTGTTTGATGTGGACCAACTGAAGAATTGTGAAACTGTATGAAACTGGTTAAATGAAAACTTAAACGGATTTCCAGCTTACTCCTTTGGTATTTTATAGTTTGGAGTCTTTTTCTATTGCAATTGCAACGTATGTATACTGCACATAAACTATTTTTGGTACAGTGATACAAGAATGGCGGACAATTTTTTTAAAACCTACCATAGTAGGGGCATTTGAGATTCTGCAACAATTGGAATCCTTACCAATTTGCCATCGAAGTGAGTATTATCATCAGTTTTGGCCAAAGGGAATTAGAAAGAAGGATGACAGCAGTTTTAATGGAATCCTTGGCATCATAAACCTGGGTATTGCTGCCATCGTTACTCCCTCAAGTTACAAGTGGAGATACAAGCGAAAACATAATAAAAAATACCGGCCATTTTGAAATTTAAAATGGCGACTGAAGAGGTGGCCGAAAAAAACTCATTTTTTTGAAATCAGCACTCCAAAATTAACAAAGTTAGTCAATAAAATCCTTTTTGGCACGAAAATCAAGCTGGATCAAAATTTATGACATAACTATATCATGTAAGTGATGACCAGCAGAAGTTATGTAACTGACCTTCAACATGCCTCGCATTCACAAACTACATTTTCCTATTAAAAAATAAGCTAACATCAGTCAAAAATCACAAAATATCAACTATAGCTTGGGCCAGCAGCCCAAAACTTGCCATGAGCTCATGTACCAGAAAAATTAGAGCCATTTTCATTTTTTGTCATGTTGCACCACTGTACGGTCACAATGCATGTACCTAGACAATTACAGGGAAAATGATCCTCAAGATCGGGATGCCATTTTGTTTTGATACTAACAACAATCAATTCAAGACCAAAGACCTTTTTGCAAACTTTTCAGGCCTGGTAATACAGTTTCCCATCTTCGAGGAGAACACTTAAAAAATAAACTACAGAGTGCAACATTTCAACTTAAAGGTACTTACTGCCAGATAGTCTTGTTCTTCGCAACGTTTGCATTTCCATAGGTCAGCCTTAGTCCCTGTCTCCCCATAACAACCTGAATAGACACACACATAAAAACAAAACTTAATCCAAGGGGTTAACAAAGGAAGATAGTAAGCATCTCTTCTGCACAAGCTCTACACAACACCATGTAATACATCATCAGCCTATCTGATCTCCTTCAGAGGGATACCTTTAACATCTGGACTGGTTAGAGGGCCATGCAATTGTACCACTCCTGCATGAGACACTTGATGTACAGTATGTACATGTAGAGGTGGAACAGTGCATGTGACAATGGACAGCCTTGTTGTACTTTGGTTTTGCAAACTTGTCTATCATCTGGCCCTTCCACTGGAGCTGGCCATTTGAGTTGATGTAGAGATCTGCTAGTAGCCACATCACAACTTTTTTCATGCCAAGACTAGACGGCAAGGGAATTTTCCGCCATAACTTTCAAAAAGTAGATCCATCAGTTGTGCAATTGATGGATAGTTATTGTGGGAACAAACTTTTGTCAAACATTTGTCCCTTGACCACTAAAAGGGCAGTTCTGAACCCAGATGGGAGAAACGTTTCGATTCTGAATCCAGAAGAATTTAGGATTATGTACAAGTTTGGTAGGTCGATCTAATTTAATTTAATAAGGCCAAAAAAACAAATAGAATATTCTGCTTCCGATTACATGCCTCTCAAAAATAGGGTCAGAAGGTTAGAAAATGTCAGGGGGAGGGTCAATATATTTGCACTGACTAAATTCACATAAATTCAGTCACCCTCCTGAAGACAAACAGAGCAGGGAATTTTGTAATTACATGCTTGCTTCAAATACAAGTGAAACAACCTCAAATTAAACTTGTGAACACGGAAAATACATACAGACAAGACCACGTTCTGCAAATTAACTTGCAGAAATCTTCTTGCAACATTGATGTTTTTCGACTTGCAGCTGTAGGGTAGCGTGCGTGTACAGCCAGTATAGTTAATCACACTATTTTTGACTGGGATGTGAAGAATGGTTACGGCATTTCCATGCATGTGCGTGGCATAGTGGGAATCATCGCAGCATTGCTTTAATGCATTGAGCGTTGCTTATGTGTTTTAACCACTGCAACAGTGAAATGAGAAAGGAACTCATGAAAATAACAGAAGTTTCTTTTGAAAGGTTGTAGAAAAACATATAAATACCAGTTTTTTAACGTGAAAAGGTTGAAAAGAGATGTTTTGTGAAGACAGAAAAATCAACAGGATTTGTTCTTTATTTTTTAAAATGTGTTTTTCTAACTTGCCAATAAAAATTTTAGGGTCACGCCGAAAATGAGTGTCAGTTGGGAAACCGGAAGCAGACATATTTTATTGGGCCTAAAAGGTGTTTTTTTTATTTTGGATCAATGCAAGAATCTTGTGAAGGGATGGAATGCTGCATTCCCCTCCCCTCCCCCCAAAAATGCAGTGGCGAAGAAAGCTGAAATCCTTACAATATATACAGAAAGGGCATGAGTAGAGTAGGTAGGGATAATTCTTTTCTACACAATGGACTAAGGGGTGTAGGCATCTCTATCATGTTCTAAGAAGTGACTTCACGTTTTGCAAACTCACTTGCATGTACAGCAATCTTGCACTGGCTACAATGCAGCAATGCACTTCGTCCATCAGAACTTAATGCTGCATTGTAGCATTCTGGGAATCGGTTCTCACTAGTTGCAGCAAAACACATTTCTGGAGTCAAAACAAGCGTACGTTGATCAGTGGAAGCGTCTTCCTCAGCCACACTGCTGCACGTTGTATTACTGCTATCCCAGTCTTTACCATCAAGCTACACCAAAAGGAAATGATACCAATGAATTATTTAATGAGCATTTCAAACCTCATCTATTTTTTGGTAACAAATGTAACAACCATCATAACTGCTGAAATGTGCATTTAAATTAGCCAAAAGGTGACATGCTCGTGTGTGTAGTGTAGACATGCACTTCTTTATTGTGCTTAAAAACAAAATATAAACCTTTAGTACATGTACGTGAATAGGACAACAAAATATTTATCAAAATTATGTAAGCAGCTCTCGCCATACTGTCAGTAATCAATATGCATGTATCTGTATTTGAAAGCATTTTTCATCATTATGAGTGCATGTATTTACCATAAACTGATCAAAAAAACTTTGGCCTTCCAGTGAATTTATGAAGGCACAAAAATAATCAAGGCATAACTAAAACACAATTCACATATGGGTAATTCCAGAAAAGAGGGGTCCAAAAGTGAGATATTTTTGTGTCCCTGTTACATCTGGCCTTTGTTATTTGACATGGAAATATTACTGGAATTATTTTCAAACATTACTACTTGTAATTTCCATTAATTCATCACTCTTGGAAATTACAAAATATGTTTGGAAATTACAAATATCGTATGTCAGATGTAACAGGGACATGAAAAAAATGGACCCTTGACTTCTGGAATTACCCATATAGAAGAATTGCTTAATATTTATCAAAACAATGTGTTAAGAGTGACTGATAAGGCTACCTTTTCATTGTAGAACAACATACAGACACAGCAGCCTGGTCTCTGATCAGCCATGGATAAGTTGTAAGCAAGTTCCATATCATAGCTATGAGGTTGTGTGACCCACAAACCATTCATGGAACGTGCCCAGGCTTTCATTGTGGCAAACTCTTGTGATGTAAAATCTAGCCAATGGGAAGAAAGTGTGGAAGGAAGAGCTAACAATGATGTCTACCGGTGCAAATAAACACAACAGCTTTTTTGCCTGCAAAACTGCACATACAGGTATTGGAGAGTTTTAACGGAACTGAGACTGTACAGTCAAACCCCATTAACATTTGTATTATCGGAATCCTGAAGTACAGTAAGCTTTTTTTCCACCTACATGTACTGTGCATATTACTTCTGTTTATAATCATTTTGAAACACACACATGCCTCAACAAATGCGCATACAAGTACTGGGGGATGTAACTGAGTCAAACCCCATTAGCACATTTTCCTGCAGACTGAAAGCTTACATATTCCAGATCATAAGGCGTAGCATGGGTTTTCTCACCTACTGTACGTACTTAACATCAGTCTGTAAGTTAGTCTTTCATCAAGGCCTTTGCGGCTGTGTTTACGTGTAACTGCAAGGCGGGTAGACCAGAAACCACATGCATGAGTGGCGCAGCCATGAGGCCTTTTCCAATTTTTTTTTTTATGTTTTCAATTTTTACTTCCCCGTTGGGGTAGCAAAAATCTCAATCAATCATTAGCGAGGGGGTCAGCATACATTAACCTATTACGCAAACTGAAAGTATATGAAAGATGGCGAGTGTGTCAAGTGTGTCGGCGGCCGTGAGTGCAGGTCAGTTGTCTGAGCAGTATTTGGACAATTCTTTAGAATATGCTGCTGGAAAACTTCACCTTGCTGAGTTTAAACCATTGCAGCCTCAGGCTATTGAAGCATCTGTACACGGGCATGATGTTTTCGTCTCTACCCAAGGAATGTGGTAAGAGTTCCATATTTTAAGCACTGCTCTTTTGCATTGATCATTTGGCCTTGATGAACTGCTAGTGTTACTCAAACGTCAGCATCATCCCCCACCAACAAGCATCAAGGTTAATCTCATCACTTATTGCCCACATGCAAAACTTGATGGAAACATTTTGTATGCTTTGGAGAGACCCATCTGCTTCAACTATTTGCATGAAATTTATGAATAATGCATATCAGAAAGCTTATGAATAATTCACCACAAAACCCTAAAAATCAAGTTTGAAAAGGCCTCGAGGCTGTGCCACTCGTCTGGTCTCCTGTCCAATAGCTTTGCAGTTACAAACATACAGCCAGGCAGGACTTGACGAAAGGCTATCTATACGTGTACGTACATTTGTTAGAGTGGTTCTAGCTTTATGACGCTTACAAATGAACGTTTTCAAAGAAAAAAATGAAAAGAACAAAAATAATAAATAAAAATAAGGATATGATGACTGGTACTGATGACCACGTGAATTATAGATTAACAGAATGAGTGTGCAATACTGACTGTCAATGTGCACAAATCACAATTCAATTTACATGGTTTTAGCGTGTAATTATCACAATGCCTGTTATACAAAGGAACAGGGAACTCCTCCCCCACGTAGAGTGGGTCGGGTCTCCGAGTGATACTTACCGCTGCCCAGCCTACATATGCAAATTTCCCATGTGCCTATTACAATTCGCTGAAAAAAAATTGATTATGCATACTGCCCCTTGACCCTCCAGAATGTACTGCAGCCCCGCCGCCATGTTCGTTCTTCTTTTGGGAGTGGTGAAACCACCAGAGCCAAAGTGGGGAAGGGTAGGCGGGAGTGGCTGGGCAGGGGTAAGTATCACTAGGGGACCTGACCCACTCTATGTGGGGGAGGAGTCTCCTGTGTTCACATACCCTTTCCCAGCCTACATATGCAGAGTGGCAATGAACCTTGGAGGTAGGTCATCAGCAATGGGAGTGTAGTTACTAAAAGGAACATGAGGTGGGTGTCGTGGGTGACGTGAGATCGGGTCGTCTCATCATGTTGAGCTGGCAAGTCTTGATAATGAAGATAATGGCTGATGCCGTCCATCAGGCATGTGTCCTTCAACGCCAGGTAAAAGGGTTTCGTTGTGGTGACCAAGAGCTGGGAATTAGATTCTCAACAAGGCTTGATTCTGGCAAGATACCACTTGATAGTCCGGACCGGACATCATCTCTTGTCAGAGTCGTCTCCCGAAAGTGTGGCTATGTCGGGAACGAATATGTCGGGAGGCCGGAAGGTAGGCGTCTGGTTTTTCGTCAGAAACCTGATGGTTGGCATAAGGCAAACCCCTGTGGCTCCCAACAGATGTGACCATCGGCAATTGATAGGGCTTGCAGCTCGCTACCTCGTCTCAATGTAACAACTGCAAGGAGGAATGCCAGATTGATGCTAGATGGAGGTCTGAGGCATCAGACAGCAGTTCGAACGGGGGGGACTTAAGTGGGCAGCATCTCTGAGAGAGCGGACTGCAGTCATTAAACCCAATGAACAAATATCTTGCCTAAGTTTAGAGCGAGATTTCTTGCATTTGGACCCCGTAGAAGATGATAAGTGTTTGCGCATCTTACATGTATGTGCGGTGATCTGGCCGTAGAACCCGAAGGAAGAACCTAAAAACCGGGGGCGTCAGCAGCATGTCTGGAATGCAGGTCGTGATAGGTTGAAGCGGGCCAAGCCACCAGGGAGCTGTGGTGGAAGCACCCTGGTTGGATAGCCCTAGCCAGTAGCCAGAAGCTGCAGCGATGAGTGGCATTCGAGAACCTCGGCGATGATGCAGTTCTGTAGCCCGAAAAGTGGTCGCTGAAGAACCTGCATAGTTAGGTGGCGTCTCCGAATGGGCCACCCTCAGGAACAATGGGGCACCGGCCGAGGTGTTGTAACTTTCAAGTCACACCTGAGTGAACCGCTGTGAAGTTCGTCTCACAGATGTAGATCATGGCGTGTGGCGGTTGTTGTAGCTGGTCCGGGAGCCGTGGGGCCATCCTGGTGTGCAGACCGGTGAGCCATACTGATGAATAAACATCTTCCACGGTAGGCAGAGGTAAAAGGAAACCGCCAGAGAACTTCAGAGCACAGGAACTGGGGGTGAAGGAGTAGGCTTACTCGTCCCAAGTGCAGCACAGGTCGAGTGCCATTACCACTGGCTGAGGCTTGAGTCCATCTTGCGGGCGAGAGCATCCCAGGTCAGAATCGGTGGCTTCATGGGCAGAGTCCATCGTCAGACTAGAGCTGTGGATGGGGGGTGGTGGATGAAAGCCCCGGTGGCGTAGCAATCCAAAAGGGGCGACATCGTCCAATGCAACGGCAGGCTGAGTGCCGTGTTGTATTGCAGACTCCTCCGTGGCAGAAGCAGTGGAGCCTGGCAAACCTGCTGTGGAACCAATTGCTCGCTTGGAGGGGGTTAACTGGCCCGGCTTCTGAGCGGACGCTGCCTGGCAAGCAGAAGCCGGCCTAGGGCACACAGCAGACTGTTGCCCCGTGAGCCCAGCTGGGCTAACGGTCAGTAGGGTTGCTCAGGGATGTGGTAGGTAGCAACTCCCAGTACCTGCAGCATAGAGAAAGGAACAGCTCCTTATGCTCTGGTCAACTATGATCAAGGGTACTTTTACGGCAAAGCTTGCTCAACCTGATCTATGGATATGTGGAGTGGGCGTCGATGACCACAGGTAGTGTTGTGGCCCAGCACGCTCAGGCCGGTCGGTAGGTGTACGGAGTTGTCATCAGTGATCAAGTGTAGTGTTGCGGCAACTGCTCGCTCAACCCGATCAATTCCAGCCATGGTCATGAGTGATCAAGGGTAGTGTTGCGGCAACTGCTCGCTCAACCCAA